GAGAGAGAGAGAGAGAGAGAGAGAGAGAGAGAGAGAGAGAGATGAGCGATCCAAGATTGGTTGTCACTTACCTGTGAGGCGAGTTGTGTGGTCCGGTGGAGAAGGAAGATAGCGGCCATAGCCGCGGAGTATCGACACAGGGTATTGAAGAAGAGAGAGAGGGAGGACAGAGAAGGAGGGACTGAGGAGAGAGAAGAAGAAGTGTGGAAGGAGGATAACGAAGAAGAAGACAGACATAGTCGGGGGTGAACACAAAAAAAAAAAAAACAGAGAAAGTGAAGAAGAAGAAGAGTGAAGGAAGGGGAAGTCAGCGGCGAGGGTGATAGGTGCCGGCAGCCATAGCCGAGGTGAAGGGTTGAACAGAGCGTTGACCAGAGGGTTGACCAGGGGTTGACCAGAGGGTTGACCAGGCGTTGACCAAGGGTGTTGACCAAGCGTTGACTGGGGGTCGCCCGCGTTGACTTAGCGTTGACCATGGCGTTGACCGGAGCTGCTGACCAAGATTTTGACCAAGCTGGAGATGGTGATAGTCGTCAGACACAGATCATCAGCCTTACTAGGTCCGGTAGGGGAGTGGTTCAACCAGGCCTCAACACTTAAAGACGGCCTTCGTTTCAGCCTACAGCTCGGAGTTCGGACCCTCTACACTGAAACTGATTAGACCTGCCAGACAGTACCGGTCATTGGGCTAGACGAGTTGTTTAACGAGCGCTCGCCGCTCATGCCCAGTTCTCCAGATACCAGAGTAGAGATTAGTCCTACTAAGTCCCGTGCAGGTTTGGCAGCAAGGCCCTATCCTTCATCCACAGAGTCCTAACACCTAGGACAGAAGAGACTCAATGCAGAAAGAGTAGACAGACAGACCCAACAAGTACCTGTCTGTCTACTCTTTCTGCATTGAGTCTCTTCTGTCCTAGGTGTTAGGACTCTGTGGATGAAGGATAGGGCCTTGCTGCCAAACMTGCACGGGACTTAGTAGGACTAATCTCTACTCTGGTATCTGGAGAACTGGGCATGAGCGGCGAGCGCTCGTTAAACAACTCGTCTAGCCCAATGACCGGTACTGTCTGGCAGGTCTAATCAGTTTCAGTGTAGAGGGTCCGAACTCCGAGCTGTAGGCTGAAACGAAGGCCGTCTTTAAGTGTTGAGGCCTGGTTGAACCACTCCCCTACCGGACCTAGTAAGGCTGATGATCTGTGTCTGACGACTCGACTGTCCCGAGGGATACGAACCCCTCCAAGGACCGGTACAGACCGGCGGGCTGCTCGGTGTGGCTCAGTAGGCCGGAACGGCTGAGTTGTGGGCTGAAATCGCCAGGAAGAACCAAGCCGATCACGTCGTCCTGTTTGCGACGTTAAATAATTCTTGCGGAGTTTGAGGGATCTCCTTAAATGCCTCCAGATCAGCTTTTGGTTCAGTAGTGACAGCCCTAGAGTAGTCTTGGGTTAGTGACCATAGTTGACAGGGTCTTACCCTGTGGTCCTTAGAGAGTCAGTCAGTAGGCCAGTGTGACCGGGTAGGTCTACGTGGTGAGGAGTGGGACATTGTCGTGCACCTAACACCATGATGGATGACTATCCGATGTATGGGTTGCTTGTTGGGTTCTCCCTCTAGGGGACCCTCTGGCGCCTCCTCTTCCCTCTGGGGTTCTGGCACGCGGTGACGTGTAGAGTAGATACCCGGGGTGGTGCTTCCACCAAGCCATATTCGAAGGAGGAGGAGGAAAAGATGGCCGCCATTCTGAGAGAGAAGAAGGAGAAGAAAGAGGCCAAGAAGAAGGCCCTACAGGAGGAGCAGGCGGCCAAGTTTAAAAAGATAGAGGAAGAGATGGCCAGAGAGAAGGAGAGGTGAAAGAAAGAAGAAGAGGAGAAGTTGAAAGAGGTGGACAAGGAAGAGGAGGAAGATGAAACGCCACTGCAAAGGAAGAGGGGGCAGCACGGTGGCAGCAAAGATGAAGAGATGGAGAAACGGATTTCGGAGTGGGTCGCCAACTTATCCCTGGGCGAAGACGAAGAGGTAACCATGTATATCCCCAAGGACGAGCAGGAAGCCGCTATGAAGAAATGGGAAGAAGAAGAAGATGTGCTGAACCGGCAGGCGATGGAAGATGAAACGAGGATGGTGTGGAAACTCGCAATGATGAGGGAGAAGAAAAGAAGAGTGGAGGCGGCAAGTGAGGCGGTTAAAGAGCTGGAGGAGGTGCAAAAACTAACTCTACGATTGAGCCCCCAGGTAGACCTCCAACAAAAGGTGGATATCATTGCCCAGAGCGTCGAGCGTTTAGCGAGAGTACAAGAACAGCAATACGAGTTTAGCCGAAGTCAAGACATAGCTGTGTGTTCGATGCGGATGGGGTTCCGGGACTTTGCCCGCGAATTGGTAGGAGCTGTAGGAGCCAAGGTGAATCATCGCCTCGAGAAGACTGAGCGTTTTTGTGTTGGCGCCATTGAAGGCGTCAAGGTTGCAGCTCCCAAGGAGGGCGAGCCGCGTCCTCGTAGGGAGCCAGTCAAAGTTAAGTTCCCTGATTCCTACACTGGAAAGAGGGAAGAAAACTTTGACAATTGTGCACCTGCAACAGGTCTCCCCGGATCAGCATGTCTTGATTGCGATCCATGCGCTCAGAGACAAAGCTGCCAGCTTTGCAAGGTCCCTAGTTCGCGCCGCCAACTGCAATGATGATGTCGTTGCCTATTCGTCATTCACCCCCCTCGCTGAGTTCATGAAATTGCTGCACGAGCGATTTGCAGACGTCGCTCGAAGTGTCAAGGCCTCAGACAAGCTCCAGACGATCCATGCTCGTAAGTGGAAGAGTGCCAGAGCGCTCAAGAGCACAATGGAGGAACTAGTAGCTGTCCCTGACCACGGGGTTACAGACACCCAATTGGTTGCCCTCTTTTACAGAGCTATGCCAGAAGCCTTTCGCGGGCACTTCTTCGCGAAGAGCGAAGACCCTGCCACCACTTACGATTCCCTTAGCCGTGAAGTGGTGGCCTTTGAGGCAAAGTCTGTGTCAGTCTCCATCTTCTGGCACAAAGATTTGGATAAGGGAAAGCAATGGGAGGGCCGCACTATCTCTGGGCAAGTGAAGACTAAGGATAGTCTTGTCCTAACCTTAGATGAGGGTAGTGTGGACGAGATCCCCTACGATCAGATTGAGTGGGGATTAGAGGAGGAGGACAGCGGTGTGGGCCAGGGGAGAACTTACGCTGCTGTCGTGGCTGGAGGGAGGCCGCAAAGAGGAGGACGAGGCCAGGGCCAAGGGGGCCGGGCCTCAGGGAGCCGGTTCCAGGGTGACCAGGGGGTTGGCGGCAGAGGAGGAAACCGCCAAGCAGGAGGAAGGTGTCAAGGTCCCCCGCAAAACCGTCCTAGGAATAGGTCTCCCTATAGGGTAGGAGGATGGCACCCGGGGCTACCGTAGGGTAGGCCTTGGGAAACTTTGGGTCTGGACCAGACTTTATGGCAACAACGATTGGACTGGGGTCAGTGCATTTTCTGCGGTGACCCGGGCCACATCATCAAATATTGTCCTAAGTACAGAGAGACCCGAACGACTGCTCAAGGGTCAAAAGGCAGCCGCCGGTAGGGGTAGCAACTGCCCCTACCATTAGGCCATGTGGGGAACATAGCGCTAGCCGGCAGGAGACTCCCACACCACATGTGCCTATGGCAGAGGTTGCAGGCGGGTGTCTAGATAGCTTCCCAGAGACTGCTTGTGTTAGGGTCTCTCTAGACACCTCCCTCACAGGCGTGGCCGAAGAGTTGAAGGAGAGGAGGCCCGCCTGGGCCAAGATGAAAAAGGAGAATAAAGGGCAGCTTATATTAGTAGATACAAAGATTTTTAGAGGCAGAGTAGGGGCCCTAGTAGATTCAGGGGCCACCCGCAACTATATTAGCAAGAAAGCGCTGCAGAAGTTGAAGTTGGGACTTAAAGTCCAGAAGCTAGCAGACCCTATAGTCAGTATCCTTGCGGATAATCGCACGATGCGAGTAGAGGATTACGCAGAGGGAGTCCAGGCGTACTTCCGCCTAGAGCAGGATGGGAAAGTGGAGAAGGTCCTCCACTCCCTAACTCTCCTCGTAGAAGACAGCCTCCCATTTGATATTGTTCTGGGGATGGATTGGGGAGAGGCAGCCGGGGCCACGCTCCATTTGAAGGAGCACGAGTGTAGGCTCCCTAGTCCTTCAGGCGAGGCTAAGACTGCCCGCCTGTTCCACGTGTCAGGAGTAGAGAATCCATTGGCACATTGCTGCCTTAGTGCGCCTGCATTCGCCAGATTAGTAAAGAAAGAGAAATTGGAGGAACAGGTCTTTGTTGCCTATGTTAGGCCAGTGACTGAGCCTACGGAAGAAAAGTCGGTGGACCCTGCGATTGCCAAGCTGCTGGAAGAGTTTAAGGATTTAACTGAGCCGCCGACAGGCATGGTGCCGCGGCCCATCCAGCACCGTATCGAGATAAAGCCTGGCAGTAAAACTCCTAAGGGTGTTGTGTATAGGATGTCCCCACGAGAGTTAGAGGAGCTTCGCTAGCAATTAGACGAGCTCCTCGAGAAGGGTTGGATTAGGCCCAGTTCGTCTCCTTTTGGAGCGCCTGTTCTCTTTGTTCCTAAGAAAGAGGGAGAGCTAAGAATGTGTATAGAATATAGGGGTCTGAATGCTATTACAGTGAAGAATGCTGAGCCACTGCCTAGGATAGACGATCTTTTAGATCGAGTGCAGGGGGCGAAGTCTTTCTCCAAGATAGATTTGAAGTCCGGATATCATCAGATAGAATTGCATCCTGATGATCAGTATAAGACTGCCTTCAGGACTAGAAATGGGCACTATGAGTTCATAGTGATGCCCTTTGGACTAACCAATGCGCCAGCTACGTTCCAGCGTTGTATGAACGATTTGTTTAGGCCTTGGTTAGATAGATTTGTTGTTGTCTACTTAGATGATATCTTAGTGTTTAGCAAGATCCTCCAAGAACATCAGGGTCATCTCAGGCAGGTCTTGGAGAAGCTGAGGGAAGCTAACTTCAAGATCAATGCAAAGAAGTGCGATTGGGCAAAGACCCAAGTTTTGTACCCAGGCCACGTCTTAGACGGAGACGGCGTTAAACCAGAAGATTGTAAAATCGCAGCGATTAGAGATTGGTCCACGCCGCGCACGCTGACAGAGTTGCGCTCGTTCCTGGGCCTAGCTAACTATTACAGGAAGTTCGTGAGGAACTTTTCCACCATCGCTGCGCCCCTTCGTAGATTGTTGAGGAAGGAGACCATCTGGAAGTGGGACAAGGACTGTACGTCTGCCGTGAAGAAATTGAAGCAGGCAATGATAGAGTACCCGGTCCTTAAGGTAGCCGATCCGTCCTTGCCTTTTGTCGTCACTACGGATGCTAGTCAGTACGGCATAGGCGCGGTGTTGCAGCAAGACGATGGCAATGGTTATAGACCCGTAGAGTTCATGCCCGCCAGAATGCCTTCAGAGAAGGTCGCGACATCTACCTATGAGAGGGAACTTTACGCTCTCAGGCAAGCCTTAGAACATTGGAAGCACTACTTGCTTGGGAGGCACTTCAAAGTCTATTCCGATCATGAGACATTAAGATGGTTAAAGACGAAGGCCAAGATGACACCTAAGCTTACTAGGTGGGCCGCAGAGATAGATCAGTACGACTTTGAGCTCAAGCCAGTCAAGGGGAAGTATAACGTAGTTGCGGATGCTTTGAGTAGGAGAGCTGATTACTTTGGGGCAATAGTGCATTACTTAGACATAGGGAAGGACCTGCAGCAGAAGATTAGAGAAGCCTATGCACAGGACCCTATCTACAGTGACCTCCTTAAGAAGGTCAAGGAGGCCCCAGAGACCGAGCCGAACTACCGCACTACTGAAGGGTTGCTTTTTGAGAAGACTAATATATTTGACCACCTGTGCATTCCCAGTAGTGAAGAGGTCTGTAGTCTGATCTTGTGAGAATGCCACGACACAGAGGGTCATTTTGGTTGGCAAAAGACTTTAGCCAATCTGATGCGCGCATATACCTGGCCCGGAATGAAGAATGACTGCGTAGAGTATGTTCGCAGTTGCAAAGTCTGCCAGCGTAACAAGAGATCTACGCGCGCCCCGCTAGGTCTTCTCAGGCCCTTGCCCATTCCGGATCAGCCGGGAGACTCAGTGTCCATCGACTTCATGGACACCCAAGTCAAGATTAGGCATGGTAAGAGCCAAGTCATGGTCGTAGTTGACCGTTTTAGCAGGTACGCAGTTTTTGTTCCTTTGCCTTCAGAGGCGCGTACTGACTTAGTAATACAGAGATTTTTTGACTGTTGGGTTAGTGAGAATGGAATCCCACTGTCAATAGTTAGCGATAGAGATAGTCGCTTCACCAGCCAGAACTGGCAAGAACTCATGGGAGTGTACGGATCTAAGTTGTTGATGTCATCTGGCCGCCATCCTGAGACTAACGGTCACACAGAGCAGATGAACAAGATCCTAAAGCAAGTTCTGCGCATGTACATTAGGCCAGATCAGATTAACTGGGATGAGATGTTGCCTAAAGTAGCTAGTGCGTATAATAACAGCGTGCATTTGTCCACCTGCCGCACTCCCAATGAACTGCACAAGTCCTTTAGACCGCGCAGGCCGTTTGGGGGACTCAACCGGGATCAGATTCACAGATTACCACCCGGAACCAGGGAGTTTGCTGTACAGCACGAGAAAGAACTAGCTACTGTTGTAGAGAACCTCAGGAAGGCCCAGCACAGGATGATAGAGCAAGCCAATAAGCATCGTCGCCCCTCACAGTTCCAGGTAGGCGACTTAGTCTGGGTCAGTTCTAAAAGTTTGCACCTGAGGAAAACATCTCGCAGAAGTTACTGCCCACCTATAGAGGACCGTAACCAGTCTTAGAAGTCAAGGGCGGCGAAGATGGACCGTCCTATACCATAGAACTCCCAGCACACCTCCACACTTACCCAGTTTTCCATGCATCGAAGTTGTTACCTTGTCAAACAAGTGATCAGTTTCCATCCCGTAGATCGATGATCCCACCGGATATGGATGGAAGATATGACATCGATGGCATTGTGGCTGAAGATGTATTCAGAACTGGAGGTAGAGGTCGTCAACAGAAACAGTACAAGGTTCATTTCAGTTATCAAGAACCAGAAGACGACCGCTGGTTTACDAGATCTGAACTTCTAGAGACAGCTCCCGATATAGTCCGGGCCTACGAGAGGCAACAGAAAGGTAAAGGTCCTGCCTTGGACTGAAATTTTCTCGGAGGACCTCGAATTTAGGCCGACGGGAGTGAAACGGTATTCACCAGTTCGCAGTAGCTGATGCAGATCTCAGGGCTCGATCCCTAGCTCCCCATCTTACCTGTGTATAGTACCGGTGTCAACCCGTAGATTTGAACCTGCTACCTGTAGGACCGCCAGTGGTAGGTAGGTTTTCGTAAGTCACAGGGTAGAAGGGATTCGAACTGTAGACCTGTAGGGTAGGAGCCTAGACAGTTCAGAGGTTGTAGCTGTAGGCTGCCTGAAGGGTCAAGGTCGTAGCTGCTACTTACCTGAAAGGGCAAAGTCGTAGCTGCGTTAAATAGAGGCAAGTGGTCAAGTGGTGGTAGTCCACCTAGTACAGTCAGCAGTCCCAGTCCACCCAGTCCGGTCCAGTCCCGCAAGTACCATCTGGGACTGTGTGCACGATGGGCCAGGGGTACAGGGCAGACCAATGCAGCACAGAAGTATAAATCAAGAGACTGCGCCCAGCCATTCATTCATTCCTGCGGAAGCCATGCGGAAGCGCTGCCTAAGCAGCTTGTGCGAGGAGGTCTGCAGAAGGCCCGAAGACGAAGTGGGCGAGAGTGAAGTAGTATAGTGTTACATGCTGTACAGGCCCCAACCTGTTTCCCTACAGGGAAACTTCCAGGCTCTTGCCTGGAAGCTTCCTTCTGACAGGGCCTACAGGCCCCAACCTGTTTCCCT